TGCAATTCTGAAAATTCAGGGAAATAATGTATCTGTTTTTGGGCTGCACTCTCCGTGGGTATTTTTTATAATGTATCAACCAGATAACTATTTATTCCGAAAGGCTAACATTGGGCTGAAGGGAAGGCAAATGTTTCTATTGGAAAGTGTGCACTGGTGTTATATGGCGTAATCTCAGATGAACTGGGGTGGTGACAGTGCCACACATGCACATTTGAGAGGAAGATGACTTTTTAGTGGGATGGACTCAGCTGTACCCAGAGTAGCTTTGCTGTGTCTGTCAGTGCACAGACCTCCAGAAGTAGTTGAATAGCAGTAAAAAGCTGTGGTGGGTCTGAGAAATGATTGTTCAAATAATTTTCCCTCTTCAGAGGGAACTACTCAGATGTAGTTTTATTTACTTTGTCTTCAGAAAAATACTAAATTTCTTTTTCAGAAAAAAAAAGTCTTGTTTTCTACTGTGACTATAACAACCTGTCATGCTTCAACAACTTGTGTCCAGCATCTCTGGACAATTTTGTAGAGACATGAATGTCAAAATGGAATGTTTTCTGAGCTCAGCTGAAACTCAGCTTTGTAAAGTGGGGCCTAAGAATAGATGATGTAATTTTCTCTTACTTGCAGGAGATAAATAGAATTATTGCTGATATTTCCTAATTATTTGTAGATAATACTGTCTTAGGGCAGTATGCCTGGCTGAAAATGTTAAGGCCTTTACTACTGGAGCTATTTATGTCAATGTAAAGCTATCTGGGAGCATGTCCTCAGTGGGAATGGAACTTCACATGGGACCTTTTTCTTAACTGTCAGCGAAAGACTGAAACTTCTGAAAGTGTAAGGAATTCATTGCTCATGTGAAGTCACAAAGGATAAATTGCATTTTTTCCGATGATATCATGTGTCCTCAGATTGTGGCTTTGCAGATATGTGTAGCTATCTGCAGGAAGTGAACTCGTAGTACATCATCATTTCATACCTGTTTCTGTATAACCACTGGAGAGTCCCAAGGAGCTAAAACCACTAAACAGGTGCTAGCATTTACATATATCATCGCTACCCCTTAGTTGGCAAACTGAATGGTTTTTGATTTATTTGTTGCAGTGTACTTTGGAGTTGGTGCATGAATGAAATACAAACAGCAGCTAGATAATTAGCCTGAAAATGTACATAATGCTATCTATACCTCCCTTTACATAGCAGCAAAGCAGCACAAATAAGCCATTTTCCTAAGAATTTACACACATAGTGTATGAACTGTTTGCTATTGGAGTCTAGTTTACCTCAGAGCTTGTAGGGATAATAACCTCAGAGCTGCAGGGATAATAAAGTGTATGCCATGTGATACATAACACAGTAGGATCAGGCTTATGTGCTTGTATCTTCATCATTTCTTGTCTTGAGTTGCTACAATAAGCAGTGACTAAAACAGCATTTTTACTATTGTTATAAATGTGATGAATCCAACATCATTCTTGCTGTTTTAGTGCAATAGTACATGCAGAAGCTGCTGGTAGTAAGCTAAGTAAGTTAACATTGGTACTCTCTTCTCTCTCCAAGAAAAGCTCAAGGTTTTGGGCACTCAAATGGATGTGCAGGATTGATTTGTGAAGTGTACCATCGATTTCCAATTACCTTGCTGTGTTTCCTGATAAATTTCTCTTGTTTTGTATTGCTTTTTCCTCTTTCATTGCAGGAGGGAAGATCGTGTGTTCCCTTGAAAAGATCAAAAACTTGCACCCTCATTCTGTACATCTAAGATCTTAAGGATTAGCAAGAAGTGAGGTCCACCTGGTTATTTCCTGCAGATCCCTTTCTCATCAGTGTTTGGGAGCAGCAGAGCTTGGTTGGAGCCATAGCCGTATGGTATGGCTGTAGAAAGCCAAGAACTGCATTACTTTTCAGCTCCTGCAGGACAGACTGTGCTTGCTTTCCTCCTTGACTTTCCTTCTAACCTGCCTTCATAGTCCTTGGGAAGGACCCCCCCAAAAAATAGGAATGCAGTGGTGGTGATGACTGGTTCCCTACCCCACAGCCACACAGAATATAGTTGCTGTCATGGGTACTCAGAGGAGCAGCCTAATTTGTTAACTTTGCCTTGCAAGCAATTTGTGGGTTGTTTGCACTGCCTGCCAGTGGAGTTGGTGCATCAGACTGCACTGCTAAGTGTTTTTTTTTTTTTTTTTTAGGCCAGGACTTTTTATTTTTTGAAATGTTGCTCCTTAGTGTTTCTGCCTGACTTTGGGGACCTTCATGGTTTGCAGGGGGGCAGAGGTGCTTATTCTGTGAAGTCTGTTAAGTGTCAATAAGCACAATGGGCATATGTGGAAAACAAATGTACTTCATCATTTTAAAATTTAAAACGTTACTTGTGTCTGCAGTAGTACTGGTAGTTTCTGTTGTTCCAGAAACAAACAAAATATTGACCAGTCCACATGGATTTGTTCTTGCACATGCAGGTCAGGTCCAGAGGCGGCCATCAAGGCTACATACAAGGCTAGTTCCAGATGGACACAACATCAGGTTTGCTTTGGTGGTCATGGTGGCAGTGTGAGCCATCAAGTTGTGCACCAGCTACAGTGTGTGCCCCGTTTTACTCTTAGAGTGAGCCAGTGTCAGCCAATTTGCAAGGTAAGTGGTAGTGAGCGTTTTACTGACATGTTGGTGATAGGCGGGTGATGCAAGTAGCCCAACTGCAGCAGTGTCTGATGCTCTTGTGCTGCGGCTCAGAGTTGTGGCTTTTGTGCCACAGCCAGCAGTGACACTAGCTTGCTCAGGTGCCATTAACAGGCAAGCCATGACCTTCCAAACTTTCACACAGGTTATAAACAAGTTAGTCATGGACTTAGATGTGGGTCCTACACTCACATGAGGGCTGCTGCCTGTAACTGGCAGTAACAAACTAGCTTGGAAGGTGCCTTTGCTGTCACTGCTGGAGTTGCAGTCTTGTCTCCCCCGTGAGTGTCTGGGTACAACATCTGTCTGTCAACATCATTTAGTGTGCAGAGAGGCCAGGCTGGTCCTCTGAAAGAAGGTAATGGGCATCTGCCTGTTTTAGTTAACAGGACACTAACCTGTCCGAATTATCTTGGTGTGCAGTGTTGGGTACAGCCCTTTGTTGGGGGGGCGGGGAGGAAGGGGTTTGTTGTTGTTCTGTTTTTCTTTTTTTGGCTGATAACGTGAAGCTTGTCGTAAGCTCCCTTGCTCAGAGTGAGGAAAGGCTGTCTGCATCTATACACATCAAAGTCAGCAGAGGGACTTTCATGTTTGCCTTAATCCCCAGCCCTTGCAAAAAACACCCAACAAGGCCAATTACAGCAGCTCCCTGTGGTTCCTCAGAGCTGTGGGATGAATCACTGTTGTCCGGTCACTGCCTGTGTCCCCTTGGGGAATTCCTGCCTGGCAGCTCCCAGCTGATACTTGGGAGTCCTTCCCTGACCTGCTGCAGTCTGGTGGGTGCCCAGGGCCAGGCTGCTGGGCAGCCAGTGTGCCAGCTCATCCCACTTTGCTCTTCCTGGAAAGATGCAAGGTCTCTGAATTCTCTGACTCCATTGCTTGTTATATTAAGATACTAACTTCTGCTCGTGTATGAGATAGAAGGAGGAACATTTTTTGGGCTTTTCATGTTCTGTTTTTTATTTATTTATTTATTTATTTCCCCACCTGCAGATTCCTGTTCAGCTTTTCTTGTAGTACTAAAACAAAGTGAGGAAGTGACAATGAACCCTGGTGAAGCCATATAATAATATTTAAATAGAAGATTCATCTAGAAGTCAATTTAAAAAATAAAAGCACCTCCAAAAGAGGAATGTGCTAATTAAATTGGATAAGAAACAAACTATCAAGACAACGTTGAGGAGAAGGAGAAATAGATTCTGGGAACCTCATACAGTCCCATGTGGTCTGTGAGGGCTCAGTCACAAAAGTGAAACAAAATCTTATAATATATTGTTTTAACAAGTGGCAGAGCTCCTGAGCTGGGAGAAAACCAAGATGAGGAAAGCTTAATAAAAGATGATCTCTCCCCTTTCATGAAAAAAGGAAACAAAAAGTTTGAGTCACTGAAAAAGCCAAGGAGAAAAGTGCTTAACATTAGGCTTATCTTTTTCAATTGTTTTCCTTAGCAGATGGAAGTAGAAAATAGGAAACATTCTCAGTCATGAACTGGATTATCCATTATAGTCCCAAAGCTTATCTTGTCTTCTCCCCTTTTGTGCTAGTTAGTCTTAGGAATTTGAAAGTGCTTATGCTCCGCAGGTGAATTCATTTTCCTTGCTTTGTGCCTGATTCATGTTCTTTATGCATTGCCTTCCTAGTACTCGAACAATGTACTGTATTTGCATGGCCCTATTAAATCTAATTACCTCTAGCTAAAACTTCAGTCCTTCTTGTTTTGAGTGAAATAACCGTTTAGAGCCTTTCTGTTCAGGAAGCTTTATTTGTCTTTGACTTTGTGCACTGAGAAGTTTCTTGTCCCCAGAATAACTAATTGTGATAGTTTTATGAACTGCATGAAGTCTTCAACCTGCTGGATTTTAATCAAATGTGAATTTACTCAAAACTCATTTTACTTTTAGAAAAACATTGCACAGTTTCTTAGGGAATGCTATTTTGTCAGGCGTTGCAAGCTAGGTGGTTTTGGCCAGTGGTTCACCATTAAGGAGGTGATGAAGGAAGGGAAGTGATTATCTTATCTGATAGGGTAACGATATTTTTTTAAAGGAATGGGTGAGAGAGCCTTTGTAAGAGCGAGTGAGTGGCTCTTCCTTGGAAAGTTGAAGAAGGGTTCAAGAAACGTGTAGATGGGGCTCTTGGGGATGTGGTTTAGCAGATGTGGTGATGGGCTGACAGTTGGGCTTGATGATCTTAAAGGTCTGTTCCAACCATAATGATTCTGTAATTTTAAGAGTGAATCCCATAAATAGGGAAGGAGTCTGTGCAAAATCAGAAGATGTGCTTATATTTACTATTCATACATTTTGTATCCTCAGGTATATATTCTGGTTCAAGATGTCTGCCCCGAGGTTTGTTTCTAACAGGACCTCCCAACAGGCCTTGTCTAACTCCGATTACACTTGGGAGTATGAGTACTATGAGTATGGACCAGTGTCGTTTGAAGGCCTCAAGGCTCATAAATGTAAGTTTAGTAGAGACAGTATTTTAGCTGAGCTTTCTCATTTTAAAGTTTAGTCTATTCATTTGTAACTGTGAATGTTCCATAGAAATCTCTGCTAATTTTGTGAATTCATAGCTATTATAATTTTTATTCTTTTTTTTAAGAGTATTGTAATTTGTTTTTTATTCTGTTTTTTTATTAACTGTTTTTTTCCTATGCATAGGAACACTTTTTTGTTTTCTTTTTGGGAGAGGGGAATAGGGCAGGACTTGGTAGAGATTTATACATATTGAAGAATCTTGGACTGTTACGAGCTGTTTCTAGCAGCAAATGCCACCCCTGCTGCCTCTGGTGACTACTTTGTACAATCTATGCTGCTCTGTCAAGAAGTTCTTGTAAAAGTTAAGAGCTATGGTGAGATGGTGAGCAGGGTTACTGCCGTTTTTCTTTTTTGTGTGTGTGTTTTTTTTTTTTTTGTCTTGATAGAAAATATATCAAAAGTTTTAGAAAACTTTAAAACACAACCAGGAATTTCTTTTTCAGGAGAAACTTTTGTAAATAGGTCATGCTTCAGAGGAGAAGCCTGCTCAATTCAGTGTCCTATTGATACTGGATCTGTTAAACTACTGTACAAGTAAAAAATGCAGGAGAAGGACCAGAGATGAAAAATAAGATTCACACTGGGGAAGAGGAGCCAACCTAGTGCATTCAGTAGCCTGGAAAGGCCGAGTTCCTTTGGCCCTGTACAAGAGTCAGGAGGTAGTTGCAGGGAGGTTATGGAGGTTGAAAGAAAGTTGTAGTCCTTAACATTTTTAAAAGGCAAGACTAGAGCAGGAATTACTTTTTGTGCAATGAGCTATACTTTACCACTCCAAATTCTGATTACTGCCTGTATTTTTAGAAATGGTAGGCACTTGAAAAAAAGTGGCACAGCTGTTATGTTCCTAATCTATATTCCATTCTTGCACTTAATCAGAGACCAAACGGGATTACAAAGGTTACTGATTACAAAGTTGAGCTGTGCTGCTACGTACACTACTTTTTAGCTCCATGTGTCAAAGGGTGATGGGAGAAGACAAGGCCTAAATCACAGTTAACTGGATTGGAGAAAGTCTTGTGGCAAAGCAGCTCTTGGATTGCCTGTGGAGTGCCTGTTACACTGGGCACAGCAGCTCAGCATCACTGACTGCTTGTGCCCATCCTGGAGCTTGTGCCCATCTCTGGTGTTGCACTGTCTGTGCTCTCAGGATAGAGAGTAATATAGTAAAGGTGTGAGGCAAGATGAATTTTGCAAGAAAAAGCTGGACGCCACGTTGGGATGAATGCTGATTTAATTAACTGTAACTATGTAGAGAATCCTAGTAGTTAAACACATACAAAAGAATTCAGAAGCTGAAAAACGGTTATGCAAATTGATCTCTGAGTAAAAATTTTGAGAAAACAATATGCAAAAATACACATTAGGGAAAAAAGGGGAGGACAAGGTGCCAGTGCCACAATGTTTCCTCTAATATACAACTTAAATAAATAGAAAAGTTTGGATAATTTGCACCTAAAGGGGTGAGACCTGAATGAAACTCTGAGGAGACCTCTGGCTGCTGTTTTAGTCCTAAAGAAACGCTGAGGATGCTAGCGAGGCAGCAGGCAACTGTAAGTGCGTCAGCAGCTGCAATAAAGGCAAAGCAGACACAGCTTTAGGCCAAGTGAATGTAAGAGCCCTTTCTGAAGGGGAAATAAAACAGTCCAAATCGCAGCTCTGTGGTGGGTTTGTTATTCATGAGTTCTGCAAGAATATTTAATGCCAGCAGATTCTATTTTATGAGAATCAGGAGTTTATCAGACAGTCTTGATTCTTCCTCACTGGTGAGTTAACGAGTTTTGCTGAAAGATGTAACCTGATCGATACAATGTATGTGCATGTTTTACATGCTTTAAAACACCTCACTTGATGAGTAGCACAGCTGTAAATCTTGAAGCATGGTAGGCTAATTGAGAGAAAGTGGTAAATTGTTTAATGATTTTGCTTTTGTTTTGAGTATATTGCTTCCAAGGTAAAAAATAGCAGGTAATGCAAACTGTGTAATGATAAAAAAAGATCTCATGTGTATTAATAAAGCTAAATGCAGGATGCATCTTGAAACAGTGAGTACAGGCTATGCTTATAGACTAAAACATTGTGTTTTTGGAAGACAGTGACTCTGAAAAGAATTTAGAGTTCATAAGGCACAGAATTATACGCACAGCTAATTGCCCCTGTACGTTAACTTTGGTTAAATGGGAGAGTAATGAGTGTTGTTGTCAGGTGATTTTTTTTTTGTTTGTTTGTTTTTTCTCCTGTACCCATCATAGAGACCTGTACTCAAATGCCTTCCCCCCTTTTCTTATAAAACGATGTTGAGAGGTGGGATAGAGAGAGAGAAAAAAAACCTTGCAGTGAGGGACCTGAAACTTAACCTCTTTAGCTCACTGGAAAAGGGATTAAGGAGCGACTTGATTGTGATAAAGTGTTTTCACAGGGAGAAAATGTCAAGGTGCAGGAGGCACTTCGACTTCACAGAGAAAAAGCAAATGGTTTGATTTCCAGTTTTCAGCTGTGCCTTTAACATGGAAGATACTTCACAGTGGGAGTGTGATTAACCATTGGTGTTGAGGACCAGGCAGGAAAGCTGATTCCTTGTTTTAGTCCTACACAAAACTGAGTATCCAACATACTGGCTAAAGTCTTGCCACTGAGGGTCAGAGAGATGATCAAGTAGCTTTAAAGCTCATAGGGGTCTTTGAGGATCAGGAGTGGCTGTGTAATGAGAGGTTGGGAGTGTGAGGTAGACTGGATACCTGTCCTGACCCAGACTTCCTTCTTGCTTGTCTCATATATAACTTTTTGAAATTCTGCAGTGCAATTTTTGAGTATTTGCATTAACAAAAAATAAATGACTAAATCAGCTATATAGCAACAAGGGGATATTCTACCATCTCAGTTGTGCCCAAGCAATATTTGGAGATAGGTCAGTTGAAACAAAGGTAGCTGCTCTCATTTTATTAATGAAGAGAATCCTCCCCTCCTTCAGCTAGTTTCTGGTTTATCCATGCATCTGTAAAATTAGGAATTCCTTCAATAGCAGCAGCTGCTTAAAACCAGTTGAGGATAAATCTGATTATTCTTACTCTTTGCCATCTCTGTGTTTTTCATGAATAAGAAACAGTCTTTAGGAATTTGTAGTTATGCTTCATGTGGAAGAGAAATTCCTGCAAGTATGTGTGAAATATTGATCAGTTTGTTCACTCTTTTTTTTTTTTTTCCCAGATTCCATTGTGATTGGATTTTGGGTTGGTCTTGCAGTTTTTGTCATCTTCATGTTCTTTGTCCTGACCCTGCTGACAAAAACAGGAGCACCGCATCAAGAGTGAGTCTGAAAACTCTGCCGTAACAAATCCAGCCTGTAGAGTGGAGTGTGTATTCTTCATCAGCCCCCAAGCAAGTGGTGACAGTGTTGATACTGTGCACAGCGTAATATTTTCTTGTTCTCCACTGTTCTTATGAATGAGTGGCAAGTGTCTTTATTTCAAATAATCTGTGTTCCAAGATCTTCCAGGAGAGCAGTTTTGTCAAGGGTGTCTTAATGTGTTCCCCATTCCACAGACTGTCAGCAGTGCTGCAGAAAAAGCAAGGGCTGGCTAGTCTGTGGATGTCTTCATGCTAGAGGAAGGTGGTAGCTAGATCACCAAACACAAATGGCTTTAGATTGCTCTTTCTTCAAATAAATGGGGTAATTCTGGGTTCATCTTTTGGTGGAATAGAACAGAGAAACATGGATGTTGGCAAAGTAGATACACAAATTCAGAAATTTAGGTAAGGAGGCCGCAGTCTCAAAAGTTTTGGCAGTTCTGGCATGTTTGTGTGTTCAAGACCAAAATGTAGATAGTGACAGTAGTGAGAAAGTCTTCCCTTAACCCTGTAGTTTCCCTAGTGCCTCTGAGATTCTGCTGAGAAATTCCTGTTAGTGCTGAAGTCCATAACAGCTCCACACTTGATTAATGCCAGAGCCTACTGAGAATCATAGAACAAACCTTTTTCTACTGCTGTCTGGCTGATAAGCATGTGCAGGCAATGCCTTGCCTCACCCTTGTATCTGGAAGTCTGGGCATTATGCTATTGGCGTCAGGGCCCAGCATGGCCCAGGGGCAGCATGCAGGCTGTCAGGGACTCCTCTGAGACAGTTTGAACCCACTTCTCCCCTCAGGCTCACATTTCACAAACCAGAAGTGTAAAGATCCTCTCTGGGAGATGAGATTGCTCACAGGCAGACAGCAGCGATGAGAAGCTGATGTGGAAGGGCAGTTTGTGCTTGTCGCTTCCTAAAGCAGCTTGCCTACCTCTGCACATAAACTGTCTGAAATATCATGTAATAGCACATCCCTGGAAGCATAGCCTTATTAAGGTGAGATCTACATATGTCACGAGTCCTTTCCTTGCTTCTAAAATTTTGCTTCTGTGGAAAGAGAGGCAAATGAGTCTGGCTTCCCAGAATTGATTTGCTGAATCATTTTATGGATGGTATTTTTGCATGCCTTACATATTATCATATAGTAACTAGACCCTGCTCCCAAGTATATTTAGAGCCTAGAGTGCTGCCTGTCATGGAAATCTTGCTGGTGGTCTGTGTATCTGTGAGTGTATCCCATGTGAATAACGAATGAGGGGGAAGAGATGATGAAGTGAAATATGTGACTGCATACTATGTGTAAAGGGTTTGTGAAGCGTTTGCCTTTGGCTATGCAAGTCCACCAAATGAGGCTCATCTGACCTCCTGTGACTTTGATGTTGACCTTGCTTTAAACAGGGCATTGGACTAGAGACCTTCAGAAATTCCTTTCAAACTAAATCCAATATGATTTTTGTTCAGACTTGTTGTTGATATTTATTTTAAATTTCCTTTACAGCTTTGGGAACTGTGTGCTTGAATGTGTGCAGAGTTGGCACATTCAATGCATTTGAGCACTGTTTTTTGATAACCCACTGGTCACAGTACTGGAAACAGTATATTCCTGGATGTTCTGTAAAGGCAGTGAAAACCAGTGTCGTCTCAATTTTGATAAATACTTAAGCAACTCGAGAAGAGCAATACTTACCTGTAAGGCTGTGGATTTAGTTTGCCTGTATCTTTTCTGTCTCTGTCCCTGACTGGATTCTTCATGACTCATGCTTTCATTAGTGCTGCAACCCCATTAGAAACAGATGTTCATGTTCCCTAAGGCTTGGGAGAAAGCCAGCCTGACTGGCAGACACATTTTTGATTTCAGTGAGCCAATTAGGCTGCTCTTGAAGGTCCCATTAATGTGAGAGGTAAATGTAACTGGATTCAGTTGGATGGATCCAAAGTACTCAGATTTTTCTGGTATTACCCTTTTCTCAGTATAAAGGGGTCTGATGGCATGTCTCTTTCTAAAATCGTACGAGATGTACAATGCTGAGCTCTGTACACCCTCACTGTAGAAGGAAGGAGTCAGGTTGTGGATGGGCAGAGGTAGAATTTCCATCAGTTACGGAAATAATACCCATTGCACTTTCTCCTTTCTGCTTTTGCATATTAGTGTGTGTAGAACATTATCTTAGCAATCAAAAATATTGTTTCCTTTTTTGCTGTATTTAATCTTGAAAATGATTTTGGTCCTTCACTCAGAAGACAGGATGCCAGTTTTGTCTGTGCCTTTAAAAATGGCCTGAAGAAAACCGTATTTGCAACCTGTGAGTCTATTCATGTCATCTATCTGTACACAATATTGGCCAATGTAATTATAAAGCTTCTTAAAGCTATTGAGACAGGTTAAATAAGTAGGTGTAGTCATGGCAAAATGACCATTTTAAAAATTTTATTTCCTTTAATTAAATCGTTAAGTACACTGGAGTGATATCCACTTAGGAAAACTGGCGATTCATTCAAACAAGAGCTTTTGCTACAGAGATGTGTTTGTTTACTGTTACTTACTCACAAGATTTCTCAGCTTCAAGAGTAGAATTTCTGGATTAATACTAAGATCTTCTCTAGATGTCCAGATTCCCTTTATGATGTCAAACCCTGCAGGATTTGGAGGGTTGTCTGCTCATTCCCTTTTAGGTTGGCCTCTGTGCTCAAGATCACCCAAGGGAGCACTGATAGGAGGAGTATTTGATCTCTAGAAGACACAAAATGGTCTGTACCCCCACCACGCACTCAAGTCCTGTGGGCAGAGTCCAGAGCCTGATACGGACTGCAGGGGAATTGAACCCAAGACTATAGTCTGGAAAACTCTGGCAGAAGGAAGGCCTCTTGTTGGGACTGCTTTTCTTGTTTTATGGGTGTTATGAAAAGATACAAATTGAGGTCATTCTTTCTAGACTTTTAATGATTGCTTTTTTTTTTTTTTTTTCTATGCTCGTTCACCAGCTCCCTTTCTGTGCCACAACATTGTATAGACAGATTTGCAAAACCATATATGTAGCTTGCACTGAGTGAGGCTTTCTGTTGCATTAGAAATACATAAATATGTAAGATTACTGCAGTATTAGTCCATCTTTTTGTTGTCTTGTGCTGTATATACAGTAGACTATTAGCTACCTGTCTGTGTTTCATGAATTTAAATGCTGTGTTTCTACATGCTGCAATTTGAAATGCACAAGCTGAATGTTGGCTGCGTTCCACCCTTTTTAACTGCAGGACTCTTAACATTATTAGCATTTGACAAAGTTAGAGGACTGTTAGGTTTTGAAGATGGTATGTCAGTAACAGAGCTGATTTTGTGACGATATAATCCTTCTATAATGTAATGAAAGTCAGTTAGCATTTGAAAAGCAGACATCATTATAATTAGAGATGGGCTGAATGACTGGAATGGTTTGTATTCTGTGAACACAGCTGTTAGGGATTGATTCCTTGCAGGCCCAGGAGTTGCTACCATTTCAGATGCATTTAAAAGGCAGTGGAGGCATTCTGATATAAGTAGTGAAAAATCTGACACACTTTCAGAATAGAATGGTTTTGTTAAGAGTAAGTAGCTCATACAATTTAAATTGCAACATGCAGTAAATGACTCTTGAGCCAGATACTAGACTTCTGAAGGCACGTATAATAGCTGCATTCAACTCACTGCAGTCTGTGTAGGAGTTACGTTACTCCGTCACCACAAAGTTACGCCATCACCACAAAGCCAGCCTGGCAAAGATGCATTAGCGTCCATACAACTTGGAGCTGCTTCTCCTCTCACCCTTTTCGCCATGGCAAATTATCACAACAAATTCAGATTTATAGTAGTTTCATCACAAAGTCTAAAATAGCATAGGCTTTTCAAGCCTATTGTAGATAAACTGTTGATTTCCTTCCTGATTATGATGCTTGATAAAACTTTATTTGCTGTGAATGCCAATAATTCTATTTTGATTCCTACTTTTTCTTTTTCTCCCTCCCTAGCAATGCAGAACCTTCTGAAAAAAGATTCCGCATGAATAGCTTTGTGGCAGATTTTGGAAGACCTCTAGAATCGGAGAGAGTATTTTCTCGTCAAATAGCTGAAGAATCTCGGTCGCTTTTCCATTTCTGCATTAATGAAGTGGAACATTTGGACAAAGGAAAGCCAAGTCACAGAGGGATGAGCCTGGAGAGTAATATTCACTTCCAGGAAGTGCCTAGGAGCAGTGGAAGACTTGAGGAGGACCTAAATTGTCTTACAAAATTTAACATTCCTAATTTCGTGAATACTGAGCAGAACTCTTCACTAGGTGAGGATGATCTTCTCATCTCAGAGCCACCTATCATTTTAGAAAGCAAATCTGTCATGCAATCTTCCCATCGGATCCTTGACTGAGGTAAAAATTGAAGGTAAAAATTCCCATTAATTAGGGTTTGAAAGCCCTTCTCGGGCTTTTGGCTCTTCTAAGAGAAGCTATTCAGACCTGTGTCCATGTATCATGCTTCTTATTGTGAATGCTGGCTGTGCTGACAGAACTGTTTAGACCAGAAATAAAATACTGAATGCTTTACTCTGGCATCTGCAGTCCCAGTCCCTTTCTCAGCATTGTTTTTGCTTCCTGTTTTTTATTTTTAAATGACTGCTCATATCCAGCTTTATAGTCCCATAATGTTTTGTGGCAACTGTAAAAGCTGGAGCCTGGCTTTGGGAGGGATGTGAAAACTCTCCTTGGCCAAGAAAAGTGTAAACTCAAATCAAGACTGAAGCAAGGAATAAACAGGCAGCCCTTGGGGGCCTTCTGCACTTTCTGCTGCCCCCACCAAGGATGACTGAACCCATGAGCAGCATGGTGTTACCTGCCTGGCATTAGTCTCTGCTTCTGATTCCTAACTCTGTTTAGAGTTTACAAAGCACCCGAAGGGACTGCTTTGCATATTAAATTGTTCAGCTAGTGTTTGCAAAATGCTCCCACCATCTGCTGCTGAATAAAAGGAAAATGGGGGCCTGCAGATACAGTGTTTCAGCTTGATGTTCTGACACTTGCACAGCGATGACCTGGAATTCATGTTCTTCACAAACACCAACTTGATTTTATTGTCTCTGTGAGCATCTGATTTGCTAAGTACAGGATTCCATAGCAAAGTCATGGAAAATCAGATGGAAGTTCTTATTTTTTTGCCCATAGAATACTGCCTTCAAATTGTCAGGGTATGGTAGGCTGGCATTTTGCTCTGCTTCTAGGCTGGGCCTTTTTAGCTCTGAAAAGTACCATTTTTTGAGCAGTGGTGCAGAGAAGAGTGAGGAGGCCAGTGAGGTGGTTTGAGGGCCAGCTCCAAAAATGTATTTGAGCTGCGCTCACTCCATCATCTCTTTGTGCTCAGTTGGGATGGCACTGCAAGCACAGCTGTTCTAGGGAGAGCTTGTTAAGGAAATGAATAAGTGGGGATTTTTTTTTGTTTTGGGTTTTTTTTGTTGGTTTGTTTTGTGTATATTTTTAAGATGAAAGTTCTGAAGTATAGCCAGTACTGGAAAGTACTGTTCAGCTTTCTGCTCAGCCACGGAGCTGATGCACAAGTGGCTTTAGAGAACAAGCATATGGGATGCAGAAGAAACAGGTTCAAAGCCTTTGCTGGGTTGCAGGGTGTGCTACAGGAAGCTCCTAGCTCAAATCAAACTAGTGGATTCAGGATACTCTGCCTAATCTGGTTTTCTTGAAAGTAATCTGCTTTGTGGACATAACATGGCCTGTGGTAGAAAGAAAATAGTGGCCTGTGCTTTAGACCTTTGATGAATTTTTCCTTCTCTTTCATTCAGCAGCTGAATGGGGGGAGTAGCATACAGGAGGAAAGAAAGAATGCCTCCTCACTGGTTTTAATCTCCTGTGCCTACATGATAAATCACTTGCACCTACCTTTTCTGTTTTCAAGCATAATTTCTTGCAGCACTTCCCTGTATTTACAGTAATGAGATTACTGTTAAAGGAAAGCAGAGGCTATTTAAAAAAGAGGAAATCATTGCTGAAAGTGCTCTTCTCAGGGGAAGGCTGAAGGGACGCCTCATACACCACAATGTCTAGCTCTGTCATCCTTCCTAAAGTACAGAAAAGGTCCCTCTTTTACAGTAAATGGTTAACAGTGAGCAGAAAGGCTGTAGCTTTTCTCTCCCCTGATGAATCCCTGCCCCTTTCTTTTTTGCTTTCTTATTCTGTGCTTTGGCTTTGGTAGATCTTGCTGTGCCACTTGCTCCCTTGAGCACTGTGCTGAGCTCCTGGTACTCGCAAAACTGTGGAGTCCAGAGGCCGCACGGCGCTGGGCTCATCTCCCTGCAGGCAAAGTCCCTGTCCTGTGCCTCCCTGGGGTGTTCTCCAGTGAAGTCAGAAAGTCTGCAGCCTCCCATTTGTGACATTCAGCACTTCATAGTGCTTTCAATCCCAAATATTTAGAATACAGTTTTGGAATAGACCTGGCCTTTCATTATGGCCTGTGTGTGTCGGGAACTCATGTTGCCAGAAAATTCTGAAACCCTAGTGCAGTTGGCCCTGTCTGTGCAGAAATATTCCCTGCTGCTTCCAGCAGGTCGTTTGTATTTGCTCAATTTCACAAATATACAAGTGTTCAAGTCTTCTGAGCAAGGCAGCTGCTCCTAGGGAGGGCGCTCAAACAAATATTAGCTACCTCATGATTAAGCTTCTGTTTGAATTGCAGATTGTGGATGATGCTTTTCTTCCCAACAAGCTCTGTTACCTCTGCTAAATGCAGCTCCTACAGGCAATTTCTGTGCATGTGATCTGTGTTCACATTTGATCTGCATTTGATCTTTTTTTTTTTTTTTTCCCCCCTGGCCCTTTGCCAGGGTTAAGAACAGAAATACTGCTTAAGAAATCTTGTGCCAGAACAGCACCTCTTCTCTTAGAAAGATGTCTCTTGCTATCAGGCAATGAAGTGTCTCACTTTTAAACCATTCTTCCCTCTATTATAACCAAAAGCTTTGTTGTTAACCTCATCTTGGGGGCTTTGCTTTAGGTGCATAACTGCTGCTTTGGGGGATAACTGCTGCTTTGGGGGAGACAGGAAAAGCAGTAATGCAAATGAAGGCTGATCACACTTACTGGCTAGATAAAATCATCAAGGCATAACACAAACTTAAACACTTTCAAACTGTATTTTTAGTGTTCTTCTGAAGCATGGGCTGGGGCTGTGAAGGTACCTCCATGTTTAATACCTGCTTTTTTTCCCTGATGCATCTTAAGTTTCCTTTCTCACTTTGTCTTTACAAATTTGTTTAAGCTGCTTCCCCACAGGTCCCCACACCTGTAACAGCAATACAACCTAATTCAGAGGTTGCTCTGTGTCTGCTTTAGAACAGTAGTTAAAGGCAAAACAGAAAACTTTCTGCAGTTTTCAGGAGCAGTCTTTGCAAAGCTCCTTACCTATTAGCTTGCATAAAGAACAGAAGCTCAGCAGCTTTGTCTTACAGGAGTGGTGCTTTGTGTGACCTTGGAGAAGCTACTAAAGTAGTAAGAAGCCACCAAGAGGCAAAGTAATGAAAAGTGTTTTGACTGAGGTAATCATGTAAACATAATACTCAGAATTTATGCTGTTTATACCTCATCCTTGAGAATGAAATTATTGATAAGAGGTTGGGCTGTTTGCCCCTTCTTGAGGGGGCCTTTCTCAAAATTCACTAATTTTAAATATATCACCAGTGATAGATATAATGCATTTAATACATAGCACAGCTGTTGCTGTTATGTATGTAACTTCAGGGGAAGCACGCCTGCTTCAGACTGCCCCATGTTCCTGTGTTCTGCATCTAGGACACCTATGTGTAGTGTGTTCCTTAACAGAAACAACCTGGGAGGTTCTGTTTTCCAGTTCCAGTTTTCAAATATTGAATTTATTATATATTACTGTATGTGAGCAAGTTTTTTCTGTGTACTTTAAAAAAGTCTGTAGCAAGAACCAAGAAAGAGAATATTTAAACCATAAATTCTCTTAAAAGGTGGGGATGTGGTCAATGAGATTAAAATTCAAAGCACTGGGTATTTGTCATGCTAGTTAAGTATTCATGTATTGGAGCTGTAGAACTTGACGTGCTTTAATGGAGGCATTTTGCTACAGCATGGTTAAAAAGGGAACACAAAAGCCATATGCCTGGGCCCCGGCAAAGGAAGAGTTTAATAAATGAGCTCTTTCTCCTTCCTCATGCAGCCCTGAGCCTGAAAGAGGCACTCACGAGAGGTTGAAGCTTTACTCTTGCTAGCCTGTTACCTGTACACAAGACTAATGGTTGCACTTCAACGTTACCCCAGGAACTTTCTGAAATCTGTCCAAGAGTCAGTCTGACCCATCTGTACCATCCCTTCTTCCCTACAAAATCTGAGCAGCACTGGTGCTCCAGGTACACAAAGCAGAATTCCTTCTTTTCCAAGCCAGTTAAATGGTAGATTTAATGGCAAGCTTCAGAATGTAAATACACTATCAAATAAAGCTTTCCTCCGTGCTAACCTGTTAACTTTGTTACATGAATAATCTGGAAAAGCATTTCAGCAATGTGGGAAGAAAGAGCACTGCAGGAAGCAGCTGGTGGTGCTGTGCACCACCCCTGTTCTCCTTTCTGGAGGCAAGGACCACCTCTCAAATCTAGGGCAACAATTTCCTGCACTTGAGAGTTGCTGGATGTCCTAAAAGTATCAAGTAGGATGGATCAAGCTCCTTGCATTCTTAATGCTGATGATGCGGTTTGTTTTAAACAAATGACTTCCAGCTCCCCAGCAAGGCTGTGTTCCAAAGGAATCAATGTTTTAAGGTTCTTCTCTATCCATTCACAATAATGCCTTCTGGAAATATATAATGAAATAGTATGGCAGGGCAAAAGGAAAGAAAAAAAAACTGTGGCTTTATAATGAAATTCAGCTGTATACAAGTGTGTCCAAGTGTACATTTTAAGAGGGATCTTCAGAAGAACCACCCTGAAATCCTTAGTTGAACAGAGTAAAAACAGGTGAGCTGTTGTGTCACCTTCTGCTCTGCTCCAGGGCACTTTGCCCTTTTTGTACCTTTAAGACTACTTTAGAGGACTGATAATACCCTTCTTTAGCTGTTAGCCTTTAACATTGTCCTGTTACTTCAGCTGCTCCAAACAACAACTACTCCAGCATTGGGTAAAGTAGCTTTGGGAAAAAAAATGCTTCAGTAAATGTACAACTACAAATGTGAGAAATAGTATAGAGCAAATAAATGAAATATGCAGGCATGAAGACACACTAAGGATTTGTGCACGCTCAAGAGTTCAGAAATGACAGTTTCCAGCACATGAAAATGCTCCCACTAGGGCTAGATGCTGCCCTGGCCTTCCTGAGGATGCACCAAGTCAGAGTGGCTCGAAACACCCACTTCTGGTTCCATCCTTTATTAAAATGATGCGCATACTGCAAACTGTACAGGAAATAAGTTGAAATGATGCAATTTTACTTTGCCATTTGCAAAACAGTCCCAAATCTTCATAATGAAAATGGAGCACACTCCCTCCTAGCTGATGCTTCATATACAAAGCATTTACATACTTTATAAATATAGACTTCATTATTTGTTCACAAATAATCATCCCTATTAAGAATAGGGGAAATAAAATAACAAGTAACCAAGCTTCTACTGAACCCAAATTTCCCATTCTTATTATATATCCTATTCATAGTTGCACATGTTCTCTCCCCCTTCCTCCCCGGCCAGTCCCTGCAGCTGGCCACTACCTGCCTAGAGGGCTGAATGTGGTGGGTTTTGTTCTTGGTGCATGCGCAGCCACATGTGTACAGACCAGCAAGCTACAGTGCATTTTCATCACAGAAGGAAGAGCTCATGCCCTGTGAAATTAAGAATACTGGTAACAGTATTTCTATTAAAAATATTAGCTAAACCAGCTCATATTATTTAAATCTTTCATAAGGGAACTGATACAACATGAAGCTATAAAAAAAAGATTAGTCAGGCATGTTCTGCCGTATTTGAAAAGCATAACATGGAATTTTTCAGTAGTAATTGAGTCGCTGGACTAACTTCAATCATTGTAATAGTTTAAAAAAAATACTTTTGTGCAGAACTTCATTACCAGCAAAATAAAATACGTACAATCCGAGTGGGGCATTAACCAACGCGAATCTTCCTCTCACCAAACACAGTTTCGATTTCAGATGAAATCAGCATGGAATTCCACTTCCAAGTGTTACATTGGAGACTTGCACTAATGTTTTCCAGAGCAGCTTCGTACACTGAAATTCTGCTTCTCTAAATGCAGTCACGTCCTCCAGCAGCCGTCTGTGAGGCCGGCCCCGCCCCCGCCGGGCGCTGGGATCACCACCCCCTGGCGCTGCAGCTCCCGGAGCACGTCCAGCATGGAGTCCAGCTGCGCGCGGAAGGCCTCCAGGTCGCGGTTCTTGCGCTGTGCCAGCCTGCGCCAGCGCTCGGCTTCCCGGCCCTGCCGGGCGTCCCCCGGGGGCTGCCGGGCCAGTCGCGCCGCCTGCAAAGCGCAAGCACCGCCGTCAGCTGCAGGGGGACGCGGCGGCCGCCTCCTGCTGCCTCCAGCCCAACACAGCCCCCGTGCACGGACAAACCACGGCATCACACGGAATGCCCACAGCCCAGTGCTGGTGCTAAAGGGGGGACAATTTGATTGGCTCCAAATTGGGGAAAAAAAAAACAACCCACAAATGTTTTGATAGTAGCTATAAATCCCATTAAATACTTGCAGTAATGACAGCGGAGTAGAATTCATTACTGACTAAAGAGCCTCAGGAGATTTGGACTTACTTATTCTCTCTGAAGCAGCACTGAGAAGTTTAAATCTGTGAGCAAGGCTGAGCGTGAAGAAGAGCCCTCTGCATGCAAAACAAGCCTCCGAATTTGCTCTTAAATGTGTTAATTAAAAGAATACTCTGCAGCAGAAACAAGCCCCATCTGAACTGAATGTTCATGTGCAAGAGGTCCTGTGCTATTACTGTGCTTTTAAAAACCACAAAAATGGTCAGAAAATTGTGGCATATATCCTGGAGCTATTACTTATTCTAAATATTCTCTTCATTATCAGTAATTTGGAGTACTTGTTCAGTGCCCCACTGCATATTTGCTGCCATTAAGGTGCCAAACTGGAACACACAAAACCTCAAGCTTAACACGTAACATGGCTACTATAACTCCAGAAAGATGCAATTACTTAGGAGTAATTCTGCTGCTTAGAATAATAGAACAGTCCCTTTTAAAAAAAAAATACAAAACATCCAAAACATCTTGGGAAACACAGGTCAGGCCTGGATTTCAGGGGAGTTAGCTTGCAGGCCAGGCAGCAGCACTTTACAGAAACACTGAAGAAGTCACTGTTCTTAATCCACACAATTTATGCCCTTTTTTTTTGGGGGGGGGGGGAGTATGAAACAATTAAACGTTTGATATAAAAAGCTAATTTCTCTAGCAAAGTAAAACCTCCTACCAACAATAATAATTCTGTGAAGAAAAATGAACTTCCTTGACATACAAAGACTGCAGAAGAAGCTCCACAAACTGAAAATTGCTACAGTTTCAATCATCTAATCCCGCTGCGCTTTTTTGACTTCATCAAATAAATCAGAAATTAAAGCACTGATGGAAGACACTGAAATATTTAAGTGATTAAAGTGCTGAGAAAGCCTCCATGGAACATAAAACTGTCTCTAGATGATACAACATCAGAGAGAAATCTCCAGGATGTTTCATGATGAAAGCAGTAGCAGAAGATGCAAGAATTAATGCAAAATTGTTCTGCCCATTCAAGTGATACAACTGCCACATATGTGAGGCTATGTCAAAATCTAACTCTCAAACAACTATCAGAAAATCTCCTTATCCTGCTGCTTGAAGCAGGGCCTCCTTGGGAGCAGGCTGAGGGCAGCTACAAGGAGCAGCCACCTGAGCGCAAGTCTCATGCAGCTGGTCTTGGTAACGACAGGTAACTACACGGATTCGCACCCGAGAGCACCGCAACAGGAGCTCATCAAAAGGTGGCTTCACCAGAAAACACCTCTGTCCCCTTGAGTGTGAGCTGAATAAACCTGGAAGTGCTGCAGAGACCTCAGCTGAGCCGGTACCTCCTCCTGGGGAGGCTGAGGCCACGCGCCCCCCTTTACCTTCTGAAGCTCTTGCTCTCTTTCTGCTCGCCTGCTCTCCATGTGCTTGATTTTCTGCTCTAGGCACAAGAAGTGCTTCATTTCAGGACTCTGCCTCTCCTTAGCCTCTCTCAACTCTTCTGAAAGCTTTGCCACCTAAAAAGTGAGATAAAACACATATTGCTAAACACATGTGATTAAACTGCTTTAGTCTAATAATCTGCAGGTCAAATCAGTTTACCCAGTAAATTGTAATTTCACAATCCTTCAGAAATTCTTATACAGTTCGCTAATTTATTCTTATTCTTTGCATGTTTCAAATAAGCTAAATAAAGAAATATCAAGTTAAGTCTTTTTTTGCCCAGTATCTTAATGTGTATACGTAAATGACATGGAAAGCTCTGAAATTCTCAGTCCTTTGCCACAACCCTTAGTTCTCAAAGCCCGTAGCTGATCACTGCTAACCCTGTTCAGGTGTTTGGGCAGCCTTGGCTCCTTGCTGCTGAGTTTAAGCAGCTGAAAGCACAGAGTCCTCCTAAGAGGCTCTCGCTTTTACTCGGCAACGGCTCGCGGGCGACTTGCCCGTATCTCTGCTTTAACACTTCTTCTGAAGCACGGAGGCCTCGTTGTGTCGTTTCTGCCTCTGCTTCTGCAGCAGCTTGGAGCTCCTGGGCAGCAGCTGCAGGTGCCTGGGCCCTAACGCTTCCAGTTTCGTAGGCTCAGTGACAAGGGCTCCCCGCTGCTCTGCGGGCAGCACCAGCGGGCAGGAGCGCAGCGCCGGGCGGGCGCCGCCACGGAACGCTTGTTCAATACAAGATCCTCCTCCTCCCCTTACAAACCCTGACTTGTGTAGCAGGATTTTTCACAACAGAGTTGGAATTCTGCGTCAATAAATATTGAATGAGCTTACTGAGATTCAGATTAAATGACATTAGGTACTGAATGCACACTGATGCTTCTTTCATTTGTTCCAAAGGAGGGCACTAAAGCAAGATTAAACATATTAAGTACTCATTTGTTTGCAGAAAATAAGAATTCATTTTAGCAATACTTGTGGTTAACCATTATACTATAAAAATAAAGTTAAATTAGCAATATTCATACATCAAGGAGTTGTATTGTCCTCCTGAGCAGCAAGCAATAAAAATAATATTGGCAGCACCTCAGGAATGAAGAACAAAGAAAAAGCATAAAAAAATCGAAAAGCTTGAGATAAAGTCTCAGGAAATTTTGGCAATATTAACCCCAAAATGAAAACATGAGCAAGTGTAATTTTTAGATTATCAAAAGAACAAATAGAAAATAGATACCTGTTTCAAAACAACAGAAGTAAATTTCAGAACTCTGCGAATTCAACTTCTCTTCATGAAAGACCAACTTTCACAGGCCAAGAACATAACCAAGAATACACTCACCCAGATCAGGTTTGCGGTAATGAAGGATGAAGAAAAGGAAGACTTTGTTCTGATTCTATATGTATAATTAACAATGAATTAAAGTACCCTTTTAATAAGGTCCTGGGGGCTGTTTCTTACCCACAACTCTCAAAGAGGCTGTCAGTATTTGATTTAACCTTCTGATCAGTTTTCACACAGATGTCAGATGATTTCATGGAAATCAAAGGAAATCAAAGTATAATCTCCTATGACCTGTGTCGCTTTCCTGTTCACATTAGAAAAATATATTTCATTTTCATACTCAACTCATCTAGAAACCAACAAATATCCCGTTCTTTAGACTTGTTTTACTATATAATATTTGAAAATGTAAAAGGACAAAAACAAAGAGGGTTTCAATCAGTATAAGGTACCCCCAACCCAAATTCAGATATACCTCTTTTTGTAGGAGTTCCTCTCGCATTTGTGAAACTAGAAGGGCTTCCTGCTGTCTCTGTTGCTCACCGATTTGCTCTTGGAGATGTTTTATTAATACCTGCAAGATTAAAGATTCTTCATTAACACAAATACCTACGATGTCATCTGAAAACCTATTCAGGAAAATTACACCCTAAAACGTAAGTAATGCTGTAAGAGTGCCGGTATGAGCTATGTATATTGAGTGCACAGTCACTTGACGTGTCCGACAGCAGACACGCACACAACGCCTGCAGACCGGCCTTCACCTGCAGGTCAAAAGCCGAAGAATCCGAATCCAGCAGCTCTCACTGCTTTCTACCACCACAGGGCGGCACAAGCTCGATGGTCAAACAAACTGCCACGGCAGTCAAAGCAACCCCGCAGCTAGCAGCTTTTAAGGACGGCTGCGTAACACGCGCGCTTCGCGGCGCGGCACCTCTTGCGTGGAGATCCTGCCGTGCAGCTCGGCCCCCCGCGCCGCGCCCGGAACCAGC